TTGCGAAACTCGAGCTTGATGGTTCCGTTGGGCCAAACTTGGCTCTGGCGACCGCGACTTCAGACCAAGCGTGTCTCAAGAGATTCTTGCCTCAGACTACGAGCCCAACGGAGAGCATTCATCAATCGACAAACTCGCTAGCTATCACTCTATGTGCACGATCTGACCAACCTTGCCAACCCGATACGACCAATACCTTTGTGCTTTTCATCATCCAACAAAAGACCCTACAAGGTCTTCACCCCGTATATGAGCCATATGTCGTACTTACGCGGCGTTCTATGCCATACGAGATTTATGCGGTCTCATCAAAACCAATTTGGATTTTTGGTCGCAGAACTACTGCAAAAAAGTCAGATGTATCTGACTCCGAGATGCTCTACGTGACTAGCATCAGCTGGAAAAACCAAGGCCAGAAGTATCATGGGTACATTGATGACACACTGTTCCTGGCATTTGGCAGGGAGGATTCGGCCGCTGGCGGTATCGACGTTACCGCGAGAGACCTCCTAGCAGAGCTGGGTATGTGTGCAGGCTTTTGATTTAATTCTTTACTAGGAGTTCTGGTGGCTTGCATATCTCGTTTTTCAATTTTCTTGAGGGTGAATGTGATCTTGTTACGATGTATAATAGGTAGATGTGCTTGAATATTGGGAATTTGATCCAGCACCGAACAATCCACTATCGGTACGCGGAAATAACAGAACGAACTAAAGAAAAATCCCTTTAGAGTCAGTGTGGGTCCAAAATCCTCGTCAGTCTCCATTTCTCGTATTATTTTCCTATCTTCCTTTCTTCCTATCTGTTTGTTCGCGCAGAACTTGGTCAGTGGGCTGGGTGGCTTGGGCGGCGCTGTGTAGCGTGCTCTCCCACAGGATTAGTTTTTTTGACATGAAAATTATTGGCGTCCTCGCAAGCGTTATGCGTCCTTTCACATGTCTTTCGCCACCATTTTGCCTAAGACATTGATCGACCGAGGTGAGTCCCGTACATGGAGAGTGCCGCGTTGATTTTGAGCATGTGCCCAAAACTCAAAAATAGTTAGTGCCTGCGTGGTGGGGGGATATGATCCTCAAGCCAAGAACCCTGATCTCCCGCGTTGGGCGTTATGCATTAATTGGTCCATAGAGACTTTCAGCCTCACACCTCACTGCCAGAACGTCCCTCTGGCTGTCAAACTATTCGGTTAGATATCCGATCGACGGCTGCTTTAGTCGCACCTGGCCACCCTTGGTTTCCACGGGGTAATGATGACAGGAATTGTTCAATGCGGGCAATATCATGCATCACTACGAAGTTGAGGATAATCATGTGCGGTTTATTATCTGCTATCGTCGGAATCGGGCATTGGGCGAACTTTTGCGGAAATCATTTTCCACTGGGGGAAGTGAGATTTTAGCTAGGGCACAGTGATGAGGTCCGAGGAGAACTGACTGACAGACCTGAGGATTTAGACAAAGTTTCTTCGCTTTAGTATTTCTCCCCTTATTTCGGGCACCGTTCTTCCTGCTGTCTTGAGTGTTGTACCTTACAGAGTCAGAGCGAAGTTAAATCCCATCAAAGATGTTTCCTCACACACGCCACGAGTAATAATCTAAAGACTCAGGACCAAGGACGTATCTAAGATCATTTTCTATTTTTGATTAGTTTGCCAATGCCGATGTTGCATCCAATATTACAACTAGAGTGTTTTTAGATTACGATGTCTTTTGATGGGACTTCTGTTTTCCGCATAGCCATCTTTTAGAGGTGTCCATATTCATATAGGCAGTGTTGCTGGAGAGTCCCTTGCTTCTAACCACCATGACGCCATTTCAATGAGACTTAGTGCATTCCTATACATTTGAACAAATCAGTCCAAATATTTTGACCGTAAGAATGCCTTTCCTTCGTGTCATAGGGCATTCCTCCTTTGAGGAGACTTTTCGTCGTTATTCTTACCATGGATTATAACAATCAAATTTGAGAAGGCTCTAGGGTCTAGGTTGAGATAGACAAGTAGTGAAGAAATGCACCCTGCAGTCAGGTTTCCCATAGTGTCATAATTATGTAATTGTATTCTGGAATAGGAGTTATTATAAATGATTGTAGCTTGAGATAGCTTAGTAGCTAGAAGCTACCAGCATCAAATTAAGTATATCAGACAACAGTGGGATGAACCTCCGAGATTTTCTCTACGCCATTCTTAGACCAGGAACATCATGCTGGCTAGCAGGATGGCAGTACCAGCCACCTGAGCAGCTCCGGATCCAGTACCAGATGCCCCGTTGAATTGGGAGGTGCTCGAAGGCGAAGCAGTGTTGACAGTGGACGAAGTCGTGGAGGCCGCAGACGAAGTTTGCGGGCTTCCGCCCAACCCACTGACCGTGGTAGAATTGGAGCTGCTTGATTTGGTCGGAACACTTCCTGCAGCAGTCGATGTGGGAGCCGATGAGTACACCGGCGGGACAGAGACCGGGTGGCCAACACCAGAGCACAAAGATACAACTACATTGGAAACAGCTAAAGGGCGTGGTTAGAGGGGATCATACGTAGTGGCATGTGGCTTCTCATACCTTGTTGGTCCGTGACATCACAAGCTTGTTTGACGCAGGGCACAACCTGTTCCACAAGGCCCGTCTTTTGGCAATGGCATGCGAAATCCGTCAGCTCAGAGCAGCCGTCCGCACCAAGGGCCGAAGTGAGACATTTAAGCTTCAAGAGGAAGAAGGAGAAGAGAGCATAGGTTAGTTTTGAAATTAGATATGGAGCCGGGGCATTGAGCGGACAGGTCGTACAGAGCATTGTGGGATATTGGATAGTTGGGCGCTGGTGATGGCACCGGCGCCGAGCACGACAGCAGCAGCAGCGAGACGCATTGTGGCTGTGATGCGGAAACGGAGGGATGGATAGCCTGGAGGTTGTCTGGCATGAAGGGGCTCTCAACGCGACAAGCACAATAAAACTAGAATGTATGCACCGACTAGTCTTATATGATATGGCACTCCAGGCCCTATTTCTAACTAGCGGAGTATACCGGCTATGAGCACATCATTCATGTCACGCTATTATCGCGTGGACTTAGCTTGATTTCTCTTTTCTATTGACTCATTCGGCTCGGGTCTTTTCAAACTTGGTCTGCTGGTTTTTGTACAGAGTAATCCTGTTACTGTTATGGTATGAACAAATCAAATCAAAGGTTGAACGAGGCGGAGCCCCCAAAACCCAGACAAAGATGGTTTAGCGTGGTCCTTCTGGCTCTGTTGCTGGAGTGTTTGTACCCTGACTACATGGCGTTACCCACATATGTCTTTAAACGAAGTGGAGCGAGCCTGGAGGTGCGTGCGGGGTAATTGGAGAACCGAGGGACCATTCAACTTGCCATAAAAAAAGGAAATGAAGGGCCAGTAATTCGCCGTCATTTTGCTATGTTTTTTCTGGGTCGGCTTCAGCTGCGACACTACCATTCCTTTCTCATTTCATTTTCGCGCTGTTGACTCTACTTGTATTCATTCCTTCAATTGTTTACTGAAAAGAATTTCATTCTGTGTTTATTTAAATGAATAACTAGGGCTATGACATATCTTCTCTATTCATTATATCCGGGGTCAGTTCACGTTCCGGGATTGCCAAGGGTTGAAGCTATTTATTCGACCGTTTTCAATGTCGAGCACACGTACCAGGGGCCCCCACAAAAATCCACCGACCGACAGTCCGCTCTTCTTGAACACAACAACTCCTGAATTTTAGTCTTGTCAATCCAGCGTGGCTACATGTGTCGGACACTACTGGTCCCCGCGCATATCTCGTTTCTACACACCAGCCCTGGTTCCCTTGTACTGCCACCTATGATGGAGTGCAACCTCAGCAGCAAGTCACTGCAAAACAACCAGATGAACATTCTCGTAATGAATAAGGCAAGGATGAAGGTCGTGGCCCTTATGTGGCATCTCACTCGTCAACCTCTGAGCGTCAAATCACGTCTTCCGAGGCAGCCAAAGACACTTCGCTCAAGTGTAAACGCTGCCAAAAGAATATCGAGGCCGAGGTCCCTGAAGTAAGACCAGTACTGTTGCATAGATTTCATGAGATTCTCAGCAATATTCTAAAAATTCACAAGCAATTACATAAAGACACATACCTGTCCCTACAAATGCGACACGAACGCATGTGTCTGGTGGTCTGCATCCCAGAAGGACCTCGCACAGCACTTGCCATCTGTACGTAAGGTCTATGAGCCAACTAGGCACGCCGCGATCTATTGCTCCCACCGTCATTAAGACTATTCTGAGAATGGAAGAAAAGAACCTATGCGACATGATATTCTGCTGCACCATATCAGAGCCAAGCATAGGCTACAGTAGAGGCTAGGTTTTGATACGTGCAACTAGCCAAGCATTGAGTGTTAGTATATATAGCGTTTGTATCACACCCTCACAGGCAAATCCATTGTTCCTCATTTTTTCGGAGGGCCTAAAAGGGCTAAGTACCTCCGAGAAAGCCCCTTCTACCTGCCCATCATATTAAGAAAATATAAGCAAGAGAAAGTGCTTTTACTGCATCAGGAATAGTGGGGAAAATACTGTAACTGTTTCTCTAATACTTAAGTTTCCAATTTGATCGATGCTCAAATGAACTCAGACCCTCTTGGCCAAGGAAGGTTCTCCTATAGCTCAAAGAGGTCGATACAGAAACACCAGGATAATTTGCGTTGGACCAGCCCCTGGCGTCCCTAGTTCTAGCCTTCGTCAGATTGAGGGATATGGCGGTTTGCGGGGATCATATCTGGTTACGGCTGAGATTGTTTTTTGGTATCCCGATATGTCACTCCGACTGGATTGCGATCCACATGTTGCACTAGCAAGATCTGCCTTTCCGGATTGATAATTCACATAGCTAGGCAGTAAACGCAAGCCATCTATACTAGCTTCTCTCAACTACCCACCAACTTTTCTCGATAATGATAGGAATTATTGACCACCAGCCGTTTCACAAGTTGTTGACCCAGCCTTTAGACCAGGCTACTGTTCTAATGGTACTTTCGCTTGCTCGATCCCCTTTGGGACATCCACCAGCCAGTAGAACACAAATCCGACAACCATAAGCAATAGATTCGGAATCATCGGAAAGCGCAAGTTGTGTGTCCGATCTTGAATCACGCCCATTACCAGAGGGTTGATCCACCCCGTCGCCAAATCCAGGGTGATCTCCAGCCCGAAGAACTGCGCCTCAGAGTTTTCAGGGATCAGAGAAGAGTAGATAGCACGGTTGTACGCCCGAAGCGCACTGCTAGTCGACATGAAGAGTACTTGCTCAACCCAGAACTCAGCCTGATGTTTGTAGCCTATTGCAATGTTGTTGCTGATACCCATGCAGCCCCAAAGAACACAAACAATGTTCACCAGAAGCAGCGCATATGCCCATGACTTCACGGAGAGACGAAGCTGTGGGTAAAGATACATGAAGCCAAGACTGCCCATGCATGCAAAAGCCACGCTGGTGAATGACCACACTGAGTAGACACCAGAGCTAGTACTAAAGCCGGTGACCTGAAGGAAAAGCGCGCCGATTAGTTGCAAGTGGTTTGAATAGCCGGTGTTCCATAGTACCCATCCGATACAAAGCTTGAAAGCTTCGGAATACCGTGGCGCATTTCTCAGCAGTCTGAACCAGTTTTTGGCCGGTACCAGCATGGGTCTCTTGTCCTTGGTGCGATCAAACTCTTTACCGCAGACTGATGGGAGCAGGCATTGACCAAGGATGGCAAAGAGAACTATAAAAGTCAGCACCGCAGGACCCTTGAGCTGTGGCATAATGAGAGTCACTTGTAATGCAGCCCGCGATCGTAATAGCAAGAAGGTAGTTGAAATATCCAACCTTGACATAAGACCCACGCCCATAGACAAGAATGACACCAATGATCAGCGCAGTCAGACCCCCAACATTGCTCGAGACCAACGCCAGAACACTGACCGAGACGCCTTTATACCAGACCGTCCTCTCACCTTGGGATCCTGCAATCTTGGAATCGCGGAAGCAGCCAGTGGAACGCATGAAGATGGGGATGTACGAGCCCTCGATGACTGTGTAGACGCCTCCCACGGTTGTCAGAAGGCAGTATAGGACCGATAAAGCGGTCAGATGGCTGTAAGTTTGACCTGTCAGGCCGGCGAATGGCAAAGCTAGGGCGCCAAAAAGGAAAATCGAGGTCATCATCATAGTCTTGCGGTAGTCTTCCATAGTGATCAGCGGTGGCAAATCGAACGCGCTGAGGGCTCATACATACAGAGATAGTCTGCAAGGCCAGCAGTGATAATTGACACAATGCCTTCCGCGGCTCGACTGATTGCACGTAGGTATAATCTAGTTTCGAGTTAGAGATTCGAGTTGCGATGCTTAAAGCAACGAAACTCACGTGTAGCTGTTGTAGTCAATCTCTCCGGCACCAAATTTCACAAGGCAACTGATATTGGTACCACGGTGTGAACAACGCTTATTCGATCCGGCCTGGTGGCCTAAAAGGTTGGCCGCAGACAGAATGGCTGCAGAGACGTATGTTGAAGCCATGGAAGAGGTTGGGCCAGTCTAATGATCGAACTCCGTCAAGTCTCAGCCAATCATTCGATCGAAACTGATGAGCATGGGGAATCAAGTCTCACCGAGTAGCACAGAAACAGAAATGCCCATAATGCTCTCTTGGAATTGAAGACAGCCTTGGAGCGCGCTCCCTCCAAATCGTCGACGTCGTGCTGCACCGTGGGTCGTAAACCATGCTTATCGGTGTCTCCGTCGTCTCTGGGGATGTCTTCCTCGATGGAAGGACCTGTGTGCATGTCGCGATCGGGAGTCACTCCACTGGCAAAGAGATAATCCACGTAGTCTGAGCTTGGATCTGGCCTATTAAGGGAATCGAATAATTGACTGGAAGACAATGAGAAAGAACCTCAGTAACGCACGCGCTCAATGTATACCGACATGGGTAAGCTGCTGGTACTAAATAAATATGCCACTCGCATGATTCGTCCGAAAGTAGGACAAGAGCTGATAAGAATGCATAACTGAGACACCAGTCATCCCATCATCTGGCATACACACTGCGCGTTGAGAGAGTTTGAGCAGATTACTGGAAGGAAACAGAGTGCCAAGCAACGGTAACATATAAGGGGGCCGAAATCTCCCCACTTTTATGTGCACGGGATTTCATGCCACAACGCCTGCGAATCACCGCCTGTTAGCGACTGAGAATTGTCCGAATTGGAAACTCAATAAGGATGAATGTAGCTTTTCAGATCCGCCGACCAATAAGCCGCATGGTTACGACAATGAGGATTACTTTCTGCCCGTCAACCACAATCTGCGGCACTACCAGTCCCTTTTAACTTGGCATATGTCCGATCGCTTTCCGTGAGAGTTGTCGGATTTTGGTCCTCATAGCCTCTGATGCCAGTCGGGTCGGCTTTAGGATGTGGCGTGAAGAATGCTTGAACATTTCCTGCTTTTTAGTTGCATCTGTTCCAGCCCTCTGTCTGGGCGTTGGAGTGACGTTACAAGCGCGGTCCGTGGCTCTCGGTTACGAGCTCCTCCTGCTATTTTTCAGAGGCCTTCTAGGGAGCTTGTCGCCTCTTTGCTGCGATGTTATCGCGATGCTACTTTTTCGGATCTGATCTCGCGAGCCTCATAAAAGCTAGACGCATCTTCAATGTTGGCAGAGTTGGCCTGGTGTCTCGTGTCGGCAGCGTTTGCAAACAGAATTATTGAGCTCATCTGCATCAAACAGCGGCGTTGAGGCGCAAAAGGGAATTAAGGCTAACTTGTACTGGCTTTTCTTCATGTCGCAGCTAAAACAGAGATTAGCGATGCCTCAAGCAAATAGGTGATAGGTGGCTCCACCTTCGACGTCGTTCTCCAAGGTGTTCCTAACGTGATGATCCTCAAACCGGGTAACCAATCCGTTTGGGTTGGCCAAATGCGGGCTTTGTCTCTTGTAGCTAGCAGATGAGCGCTGTGGAGGCGTGTACTATTGGATGGAAGGAAGCAGAGAGAAACTTGCTTCGACCGCTAGCGTCTAGTGCCATAGTCGTGAGCTACCGCTGCGAGATCACAGGAACTGCTACCGAGTACTAGGACCATGCATGCTTGAACACTTTAGCAGTGTAGAGATGCATTCAACATATCTGTGTCTAAATTGAAGAGTCGAGAGTGGAACAGGATGATAGCGTTTGCTGTTTGTACGTCTCCGATGATAGACAGTGTGACAAAGAAAGAATATCTCGGGACGACAATCCATGCTATACATAACAAGCGTGACCTCGGATCTACAGCTTCCGACAGAGACTATTATCCATCTTCAGTCGCGCCGCAAGGACGAAGACAGTTGACACCAGCGCTGTTCCAGCAGCATAGAATATTGCTGGTTTGTAGGGGCCAATTGAGTCCGCGTGGTCTGCTCCTGTAGCTTGGATCAGGAACCCCCCTATCGGACTGCCCAAAAAGTCACCAATAAACCAGCCAGTGACGGCCATTCCCATCCCTATTGATGCTTGCCCCGGTCCTAGAATTCTGGCAATGGCAGTAGGCATTGTAACGAAGAATGCTCCATTTGACAATCCATTAAAAGCAGCAAAGAGGAGTTGCAGGGTTAATGTGGATGAAACAGGCCAGATAGCGAACATGGTTAACGTATTAAGTCCCATTGCCAACAGCAGGGTATTTGTTGAGCCAAGCTTGTCACAGGCAATGCCTGAACTAAGACGCCCAATTGCCATGCACGCATTGAAACAAGCCACAATCCACGCTGCAGTTTTGCTGGTTAGCCCTATTGAGTGTGCGACAAAAGGCAAGAAGAATTGAGGAACGAAAAGTAGAAATACACCAATCGCTCCGGCTGTGAATAGGCAGGAAAAAGGCGAGTTTTGGAATAATGAAAAGTCGACGGAGGGGCCGGTATGAGTTGGCACTCGCTCTTTGATGAGCATTGCAGCCGGCACCCCAGTTGCCAGTGACATTAGTGCCATTGCATGAAATGTCCAAGCGACGCCTACTCTCTCGATGAGGGTCTGAAGCACAATAGCCATAACTGTAGCCCCAAGGCCCCCGCCAAGCTTCACCAGACCATTTGCAGTTCCTAGACGCTTGTTGAACCATTGCACCGGCAGGATATTTGACATTGTGTACATCAGAGCCCCACCAAAACCGTACAGGGCTCCAGACACGAACATCCCGCCAACATTGTTGACAGCGAAGCCGCCAATTATGTTACTAATTGCAAATAGCAGGATCCCAATTAAGGTGCTCCATCGGGCTCCAATCAGTTGTGCGAGTCGAATACAGACTAGTCCTAGGCCAACTGTCAGGGCAAGTCCGAGGGAGCCGGCAAAGGACAATGTGCTGGCTGGTGTATCTGTCATCGTAGTTCGTATCAGGCCAGCCTGAAGTATTCCCCATGACCCAGACCAAGCATTGACCCAAAATGTCTGAACAAAACAGGCAAAAACCACAATCCATCCATAGCCACCATCGGGAATAGCTTCCACTGAGCGGGAAGCGGAAGATGGAGCAAATGCGTCATCTTCACTTTGGTCTCTGTCTCTAGTGAGGTCTGCCAGCGGCAAATTCTGGGGGATAACCTCCGATCTGATTGATGTCTCCATGCTGTTGGATCCAGTCAGGGGCTTGAGCAAATGCTTATATTCTTGTGAAGTCGCTGATAGATGAGCCTGATGACGCTTTTAGAGAGAAAAAGGTCATACACATGCCTGTTTTGTCTCCAGAATGATGTTGGCAAGGTAAAAGTTATCATGTCAAGTATGACATGTGAAACCTAGGTATGGAATTAAGGAGCGAGGTACTATCACTATCAGATATTCAACCAGTTAGGGATCACATAACAAACAGAACTAATTCCCCACCAAACCAAGCCGTCAAACAGCAGCGGATCTGATTCTTGAGGCGAATCTTAAGAAGTTGACCTGAAATAAGACGTAGACTCCATATTCATAGCTTTGCCCCCCGAGCACAGGTGCTGATGGAAAGAGCTAGGAACTCATTCAGCTCAGCACTGGGTCATGAGTCTGATGTCTGAACAGCCACCAATTACAACAGACCGCAATGTTTAAACATAAGAATGCTACGTCGCGGCCTCGACTATCACATGCCAAGCATGACTGAGGACTTCTACAGCACGGACACCAGAGTTGCCCCCGAAAAAGTAACCAGGTGTGCCTGGCGAGTACCATTGCACGTGGCCTGCCCATGGGTCGTCTCGTCCTGAACTAACTGCTCCCTCAGCTCTTCTTCAACTTAAAGTTCAGTTCATCAAACCCAATAGCGACTCGTGAAAATGCTTTGAGAACTCTCCAGCCTAAATATCCAGCAAAAAGCTGTCTACTACCGCCGCATTATTCTATGTAGTGTTGCTCGCGATCTTCCATCACCCCAACCTGTAATCTTCGACTATCCGGTCGTTCTCATCTTCTGGCCGGCAATCCCCAAGAAATTGCACAATCATTAGCTTGAGGCCCACGACGGTTCAACAGCTGAATGGACCATTGATAGTTGGCCATAGAGCCCGACCTAGCCAACTGCTGAACAAGAGGGTCGGTCTGAGCTGAAGCTCCTTTTTTAATGTTCTTCCGCCCTGTGGGTGAACCTCGCAAATCTGGGATGATCCTCATCAATCAGCCTTTAGCGCAACATCTTTAAGTTAGGAGGATAGGTTGCCTTGGGATATGGTGATTATGAGTTAATTCCCAGAAAACTTAAGTCCTAGTTGCCTCCTTCCATGCGCTGGAAGCATGATTGGTTTTGACCTGCACCAACTGCTGGATGATGTTGTGCCGCCTACTTTAATTGAGCCAGCCGTAACTAGAATCCTCTTCTACTTGGATAATTACCTCTGGGTGCTAGAAAATAATGGGAGCATTCCTCCAACGGCGGCGACAGTCCATTTAGCAGGCATCCTTATGAGCAGTCAAGGCGTCCTTTCACAATCCCTAAACCACATGTGATTGAAGATGACGCCATAACTGTGGGCATGATATGTAAGTCATAGTTCCTGGTCCAAATCTCGTTACATGTGCGCACTGCAGGCGCTGAACACTGACCACGGAGATGGCTGTAGTGTCATTTGGGGCGGACCCTAGCACTACAAGCATACCTCTCGCGCCTTGACACGGGGCGCGTTGGCTGCAGCGGGCCACGGCTAAAGAAACCTCCGATGTAAATAATCTACGGCGGGTTGTTGCAACCACTTCCGCAAATCGTTTGAACGCGGCTATATTACGGACCGCAGTATTCTTTTATAAAGATTCCACTATGTGATCATAATTTTTGCTTATTTTGTTATCGAATCGAGATGCTGCGAATGAAAGGAACTTTGGATCTGGTCTGCGGCTGCGTTATATACTGTAGTATTTAAGCGGAGCAAATCTATGCATCTAAGAGGTCCCGACCGCCGACCTCTCCGCTTCTGGTAAGTACATTCGTAGTTGGCTTGTATCAGCTTTCTTCAGACGAAGGTGTGGTATAGTTGGATTGTGCCTTGACCTGTTGGGCTTAGATTGCGGACTAGCGCCCGCATTGCCGCATAAGATTATGCAGTATTGACTCCTACTAGTGGCGGCTTAGTCTTACTACGCCGCAGGAGTCAGTTACAATCAATTTGCAGAACATCGGATGCTTCGGTAGGCTCTGCAGAACTAAGCACTACCTAAGGACTGACCAATCGCTAGTCGTGGCCCATGTTTACCAACTTCCGAGGTTGGTGCGAACACCAGGAAGCAAGGTCAGGGCGAAATGACGCAAAAGCCAAATATAACTGAGACACCAAGGTGCCACATACTGCCAGGCCACTGGTAGCAAACCCTTTCGTCATCGCCATCGCCCCTTGTCTACTTAGGTACAGTCCGCACGCGGATATGACTTTGGAACGCCATAAGCTTGAGGAAACGGTAAGGACCGGGATTCTAATGCTTGAGCCTCAATTTCCGCCGACGATTTAGCCAGTCATACGTTCTCCAGCAGTCCAGGTAGAGAGATGGGCCTTCACTGCGAATACATGTAACTGGTTGACCATGGCGCAGACTAAACCACACTCGATCATCACTGCAGGGGCTACTGGCCACCACTCCAACTAGGCAGATCCATGTGTGTGCCTCTGGGGAGCACCTGATCCAGGTATCCATGGACGTTTTGACCAAAGCATCCTTCAAGATTTGAACGAGTTTTTGCAAAGTACTGGCGTTGACTGAGACATAATCATCGAGGAGATACCAGAATATTAAAGCAGCGGCCTGGCAGGATTGATCGATTCCGTTGGAGGTAGATGGATGGACATTTTCCGGTGCATCATGGCGTTGGCTGATCTTTTGTTGTAGCTGATTACGCCACTTGATCTTGGTGGAATTATACAAGCCCTCCTCTCCTGTTGAGGCCACGTAATGTTTATCTGGATATCTGCAGATCAGGCTGATGTCCTGGAAGATGGTGATCGCTTTGCGGGAAAGGTTATAGTATCCGGTCTGACGCGCAGCCCGCTTGAGAGCGGCCGTAACTAGATATGTCGGCGGCTTCAATGGTGTTGGTGGAATATCCAGACCCGGAATGTCAAACTCAGAGTCGAATATAACCGCCTCTGTCAGGACACATCTGCTGGGGTCAGAGGCTCCGTTGGCCGTTGGGCGGATGAATTGATAGGGGCTCTTACACGGGTATTAAGGCGGTAAAAAATGCACCAAAGCCCATCTTATGAAGTCCTCCTTTGACTCGGAGCAACTTCACCAGGCCTTCCCTATGAATCCGGGATGAGTCCTCGTCACTCCTCAACGACTACATTGGTTAAGGACTGATTCTACGACACAATGCAAAAGTAGCTCACCGAGAAAAAGACTAGCGGAGGAATGCACGCAATCGTCCCCTCGTCCAGCACACCACCAGGAGAAGCTAGCTTCTCGCGAAGGAGCCGCAGCGCCATAGTATAGTGGTATATTGTGATAGGATTATTGCTTCTGCCCTGAAAAGCATCCAGATGAGCAGAAGCCGAGAACAACGTGGCATGGAAGAAGCAAGGGTCGGCCAGGACTTGGGACACCCAACCAGTGCGCAGGAGAAAGGCAAGACTGCCATTTTCGACCTCGAGCGGTGCCATTCCGAACGTCTCAATAACTATTGGAGGATGTCATTTCGAGCCTATGGTCAGGACATATATACTTGCAAAAGACGGTCCTTGCTATGCCTGGGAGCTCATCCACCTACAAGAATGCAGTAGTATAGGCATGTGTTTCTGTGTAGGAACGGGAAATGACACCTTTGCATCTACTCGTTGTAGACCTAGCGAATCTACAAAGTAGGATGTAGCAGTATTGCGAGCGAAGGTAGCGATTGAACCATTCCAATACGTGCACTGAGTTTGGCGTCTATCAACGTCAGCAGCAGTTACTAGGGCAGACAGAGCATTAGAGATAGCCGTACCGGGTACATCGTGTGCGGCTGGGTAATAGCCTGTCACATCGTCTCTTTCCTGCCTTGCACGCCAGACAAGCTCGGTTGGCCTGTTGCTCATCTGCTACCGGTGGTAATCTGACTCGGGTCGCATCTATTTGTTTCATTCGCTGAAGAGAGAGGTGAAATATCTCATCCTGAAGTCTACGGTGAGCTTCCAAGGGAAACACAGAAACACCCTGTGCTAGGATGAACTGGGGCCCGGCGTAGGAACATTCTCGCTGAAGACTAAGTATTGAGTTAAAAACCAAATAAGTTTCCGGCCTATGGGTATCCCTTACCATCGACACGTAGAGCATACAGGAATAGCTCGATCGCATCTGCGTTTCTTCTGAGCGCATGACACACACGCGTTACCCGCGGTAACTGCCCCCACTCCCATAACGCCCGTAGGTTCAATATCTCTCATCACAATCATAAAAGGGTCAAAAATCCTTGAGGTTGGGTTCATGATGAACAGAAAAATAATGAAATAGCGATAGGAATAAGTTCTTCTACCTGCTTCCCTGAAAAGTCGGCGAGTGCTGACGTGGGATTGAAGCTAAATTTACTAACCAATTATCGAGTAGCTAAGATGCTAATCTATCAGCCACCTGGTCAACTTGACCCAGCGGAGATATTAAGGTGAGTACCCCCCTTTAGCGAACAGCTCTCTCTCTCTCCGCTTTTCAGTCATCCATCTCCTTGAGTGTCCATTTGATATCACCGCATCTCAAGATAATTGTCTCTGCACCCATAAGCAAGCACACAGAGAGCCGTCGTTCTTGCTGGCCGACCATGTTGTTGACGAGGAGCCGTGCGCAGATGTCGGGATCGCACCAGGTGTCCTGAGACGCTGGATTGGCCACATATTCCAGCAGTTGGGTGAGGGGACTGCTGGGGTGGTCATAGGCAGGATGCTGTGGTGTCGCCTTGACACTGGTCGAAGTGAAGTTCATGCGCACGCCACCCGTAGAATGCATTCCCCGGAAACCCCATCCATCACCTAAGAGAAGAAATCTGTATAACTGTCCCCCCTTGACCCTATCCATTGACTTCACAGAAGATCCGCATGGCTCCCTAAGTAGTCTGGACTGGGCCCCAGAAATTAGTTTCCATCTGGTTTCGGGCCCCCTCTTCCAGACTGGCCTCGGTGTCCCCTCTGAGCCCGTATCCTCCCTTGTTGATCACCAGGCAGAGCTTGAGCATGCTTGGGCTGTCGGGCACGCACGAGAGGGATGCAGTTGAGCGAGCTATTACCACAACATGAAAGCCGGCGTCATACACAGCCTTCAGAAATGGATTTTCTAAGACCAGAAGAACAGCTGGTCACTGATGTGTCAGGTTGAGGTCCCAGTAGTTGGTATGGAGGCTAATGGAGCATAATATTTCGTTATACTACCAAACCACACAAAATTAGAGTTGAATGACTGGATTTCCCGGAAGGACATTAAATGTAAGCAGCATACTGCACATATATAGAAAATGGAAATGGCCCATTGTTGTGAGGGCCCGGCTTTCATACCAAAGACATACCATATCTTTTTTTTGTTTGCGCCGAATGATGGGTTAGGCATCTAAATGAGCTAGCGGGCGCTAGTCCGCAGTGAATACAGCTAGGGCCCGTAGTTCAGTAGCTCGTTTCTTAACGCTTGCGTATTCTGTAGGCGTGCGGCTGCGTATTAAGTGGGGTAACACGGAGCAGTTAATCAATAGGTACAACATCCCGCGCCCTCATCCTACCGTGGGTTTCTGCTTTGTTGGGGGCTTTGGAAGACCTATTCAAGGAAGTAAGATCCTCTTCATCATAGCTTACAACCTTCCGTACTTTCAAACGGACAACCCAGCAAGATACAACTAGACAAAAACTTATCTTTAATTGAAAGAAGGAGAGACGCCGCCGAAGCTCTCAAAAGGACTGTCTATGAACTCATTGCGCTGTTCCATTGTCTCATCAATGGTACCAAACCCCCGCAGTAGCTCCTCTCTGCCTTGACATATCTAGCACCATGTTTGCCAAATGACCATGCTATTGCGTTCATCTCTTCCTCATCATGTGATGGTGCCTGGGTAAAGAATACCTTTAACCTCTCATCCATCGGCGGGTAGGTGCCCGGCGCCAGCTTCAGAGCATAAATTCCAACTCTTTGGATTTCACCTGTGGTATAATCCATCGTAACGGCAAAGGTGAATCCCAGAGGGTTCAGAAACCGCCGCATCTCTTCCACCTCCTCGCTCGTCAGAAGGTAGGAAGGATCGGCCAGGCGCACTAAGCTGCTTGCTCGCTCCAGAGTCAACGGGCCGTGCGCACGAAAGTAGATGTTGACTGTGTTCGACGTAAAATCAGCAGCAACGTGTCGAACGTGCTTTAAGCCAAGGATATAGAAAGACTTTGCGTGGTTGCGTATAGACAGAGGAACATGGGGGGCGCTTAATATGTCGCCTAGAGGGCGCATAGCCCCCAGATACACCCAGACTTTTGTAAGGCCTCGCTTGGTATCAAAGTCACAGGATTGTTGCGGAGCTCCCGAGTATAAGGAACTCCAGGAGACGATCACCTGGGACAAGGGATGATTCGGCTGTAATAGTTTGGCGTTGACTGCACAAGATATAGCGTCGATAGACACACGCTCGTAAAATCGAAAATTGAGAGCATCTCCAGGGAGATTGGTGGTTCTCCACAAGACAGCCCCTCGAGCGAAGCTGGCTTGGAAAGTCGCCAGGACTTTCAGTGTTGTTTCCTGGGAGTATGGAGCACCGATCGCGCGACATGTTTCTTGGATATCGACCAGGAACCTTTTTGGATCAAAGACAGCTTGCTGCACTTGTTGTATCATCGCCGCGTCTAAACCGGAGAGAGGGTCAGGAAAATTTGAGGATGAAGTCACTCAAGGAGCCCAAGTTGGTGCTTATCGCACCCTTTTTAAGTACAAGATAGTACCACTCAGTTCATCAAGAACGAGTCGGCTAGTATTACAATTTTTTTCATGGCTGAATCCTACCATCTCCACTATACACGCTAAAGACAACAAATTACGAAGTAGGCGCATATCCCAATGAGGATAGGACGCAAACGTAATCAATACTAACAATTCTGGGAAAGTCATGCGTCCCCTCAAACTATAAAGTCCTCTGGATTATGCACCAGCATGTCAGCCCTGATGATTCTCAAAGAAGTCGGATCAATCTCAGGAGAGTACTAATGCCGTCAAAAGCAGCAAACCCTTACATCCTCGGATCCGAGGCCATCAAAGAGAAACCTAGGTATTACTTCGATACATCGAAGCAAGTCAGGCTGTGGCTCTTAAGGTCCTAACAAGTGATAGGCTCAACGAGGGCCAGGCATATTTTAACATATTGACCGACGGAGAACTACTCCCGTCTCACCTTGCCATTAAGAAGGATGAGCCACTTCAGATTGCAGACGTGGCTACAGGAACGGGGTATGTGAGCAGTTGTTGATCTTCCAACCTAAGATTGCATGATCTAACAATACTCCTACAGACAATGGTTGCTTGATGTCTATAGGCAACTGCCAGAATTTTCGTCCTCTCGTTTTATGGGCTTCGATGTTTCATCAGCACTCTTCCCACCACCTGATGATCTTCCCGCACAGATTGCGCTTCATGGACACGACATACGGCGCCCATTTGCCGCTGATTTTATCGGCGCCTTTGATGTCGTGCATGTAAAGTTTCTGAAGTACGCGTTTCGTAAGACAGAGTGGGAAGTCGTCCTCCGCAACGTGATAGCTCTTCTAAGTATGTCACCGACTTATGTCCAAAACTAGGCGCTGATTATATGGCATTAATAGAGCCAGGAGGTTACCTCCTTTGGGAGGATTCAGACTATAGCCTATACAGCTCTATTCCGTCATCGTTGGCATTTACAGAGATGGTGAACGTTGATATAGAATTTGCGCTAAAGTGTGGGCGGGACATCAGGTGCGACAAGCATCCATCAGAGTTTATCTGAATAGAACTGATCCAAGTACAATAGGCATACTGAAACTCTCTTTTACCTCTTTGAGTCAGTTGGGCTTACCCACCGTGGCCAGGCCACGCTGTTTTCAACCGATAAACCGGAACTAAAGCTTCTGGCGAATGACCTTACGATGCGACTCTTTTCGACTTCATTGGAAGGAATGATTGCACAGGGTGGTGTGAAGGGTTGCCGCACTCAGCAGGACGTGAAAACCATCATTGACAGAGTCCAAGATGACATCGACAATCACGGCCTGCAGATTGTGCATGGGATTAAAAGAATTTGGGGGCAGATGCCAGTCTCCAGTATTGTGCAGTATGACTAGGTTATGTTTCTCTAATATTGGCTGGTCAATTCTAGCTGTTGTCACTGCCATCTCCTGAATCACCGGATTCAGTGGAAGAGTCGAGAGGGCAGAGTGAGCACTGTGTGCATACCTACAAACCCCGGTTGCGATTGGCAAACATCTTTTGCGATAAACAAAAAGTTACAAAACCTCGTAGCACGCTAGTAGGGGGCAAATCACAATTTAAGGTACATCTTTAACAAGAGAATCGGTAACAGGAAGCTACCGACCGCAGAAAATGGAGATATTCGTAGGCAATAAGACGGGTATCTGAATCCGGTGAGGTGGTCGTTCGGCGGTCAAATTTCATGCTTATTAACCGGAATGAATTGCCTGGTAGGGTAATTCAGTTGATCGGATCCCCAGCAGGAATACCAGGTTGGGAGTCTGTGAGCATTTGTATACCTCCCTAAGCTGAGAAGCACAATCTCCTGCTGCAGTATCTAGGCTGCTCACCCTTCAACTCTTTCTACTCAGGGAGCGAGCAGTGTGCTCAGTGAGCGCAAGGTGAGCAGCAATGTGAGAACCTTGAGCTGGGCTGCAAAAGGTTAACCACTGAGGCAAGATACCTACTATGATTGACCCCGTATAGTCAATCATGCCCAGCTTCCATATATGTATCTTCACTGGCACTAACAAGCAATGAGCGAGGCCTGAGCTGAAACATTGTTGTGCTTTTGCTTATCTTAGCTAGGATAATCAGCAACGTAGATCATTATTCATCTCGCCCTCAGTTAGACTCCCCGATCCTACTCCCTTCCCTTATGCTATTTAAAGGCTGTACCTTAACTGCAAGATGATTATCTTGAATACCCACTTCATACCAATGCTGATAGTGACTTAGCCCGATACTGGCATATAGGGCCATCACTTAACCCTTAATGAGACTTTCATCGGTCAAGAGATAAAAGCTGGTCGGCCAACATCGTCCGTACAAAAGCCAGGGCTGGGGATCAGTAAGATAAACCCGCGGAAAACTAAAATCTCAAACAAGGGCAAATAGAACGTCTCTTTTCTGCAGTAATCTATGTTATAAGCAGTCTTCATGTTCAAAGTTCATTATATGACTGGTATATAGGCTAGATCTAAATACATCACGTCCTTTTAGGTGGACTTTTAATCACTTCGACAATGTTTTATGTAGGCGAAAGAAAAGAGAGGTTTCGAAGTATCTCCAACTCTGACTGTTCTCATGCTGACAGTGCACCGATGTCCCGGAGAACATAAATGTGGAGCCATATTTAAACATTTCCATGGTGGACTTCCTGTTAATTTGTCTCATACAGTTGTTGTTTTTGTGCCCTGAAACCAAGGAACGGAGTGGATGGGGTTACCGATCTACAGTATCTTGATATTTTCGTTGACACTAAAGTCAGTTTATGTGGAGTGTGTCGGGTAACCCCTGGCCCACTATTGGTCGGAAATCCGACATCACCCCCGCACCTTCCGATCTTGCCCAATGTATGATTATGTATCACGGAAGAGCGATTTTAGTTTTACTGCTGAAATCTACGAATGAGGTTGAATCTGGCGGATCGCTCCGGTGACACTAATTACTAGCGTAGGTACCTAGTCTAATCAACAGTGACAATGCACCAAAGGTCAGAGCACAGCAATAATCACTTAGAGCCCCTGACACCTTCTCACATTTCAGATTTTGTTTCCATCAGTTCCCACATACCAGTTCCCCAGTGTTCTTTGCCTACGCATACATAAAAGAGC